CGTGGACAAACTTTTCACACTTACTCGCACATCTGACAATGGCTCAATGAGTTTTTCGCAGCCTTGTACAGTCAACACACAATACCTTTGAATCATTCGATCATCTGGAAACGATTCTTTCTTCTTGGAAACTTTTATTTGCTTTACATTTTCAATTATGGAATCATACTTTCGTTTTGTTATTAAAACACTACTATATTTTGAATCTTTGCTAAAGAGGTTTGTGAAGAATCTTTTCTTCATTTTACTCACCAATTCGGTGCTTGCTTGCATACTAGAAGTTAAATTTACCTACTTCAAAAAACATCCCGTCACAAATTCATGCACTAACAAGCAGAAACGAATTTGAAAACAGAATTAGCTATGCTACACACTGGCAACCAATGCTAATTATGAGAAATAAAAACAACTGGCGACACCAAGACACTGGCAAAACCAAATTAAAAGTGGAGAGGGAGAGGGAGAGAGGAAAGGAGTAGGGAAAGAAAATGAGAGAAACACTTTTGAACTTTAACGATATGGAAGCCGTTAATGTGCAGATTACCTAGGTAACATGTGGAAAAATCTTGATTCCGCATGTCCACGGATCACCTTAGTTAATCTGAAGATTAGCTAGGTAAAGTACACATTAACGGCTTTTGAGCTTTAGCAGTAGCATATACAATGAAGATCCTAAAATGTTGGTAGAAATTAACAGAGGTACAGTTGTGCTAATGGATAAAGTTCGGATGAATTTAAGGAATAAATACATTAATAAAATGAAATGGATCATTAAAAAGNCAAAGAATTAGGGCTGACAAAAACCTATTTAGATGTTAACGAACCCATTATCTATCATAGATCGAGGTCGGTATGTGCGACGATTGTTTGTTAGTGTATCAATATCCAGCTTGGCAGTAATTACCATTGTTTTTTTTTCAATTGCAGACACTACTGTAAAGACAAAAAGGGGAAAGTGCAAAACACGCCTTATATTGACAACTCGTACAAGTGGGCTGGCGGTGGTTTTCTTTCCACGGTCGGTGATCTGTTAAAATTTGGAAACATCATGCTGTACAGCCTGCAATACAGACGAAACTGAAGACATGGGGAAGATTTCCAAAGAAACGGGCAAAAAACAGAAAACAAAAACTGAATCGCCCTTGCCGGAAAAGTGCAAAAATTCCACTTTCACAGAAAACCAGGATAAATCTTCCGTGGAAAGCCGACAGAACTTTACCTAGCTAATCTGAAGATTAGCTAGGTAAAGTACACATTAACGGCTTTCGAGCTTTAGCAGTAGCATATACAATGAAGATCCTAAAATGTTGGTAGAAATTAACAGAGGTACAGTTGTGCTAACGGATAAAGTTCGGATGAATTTAAGGAATAAATACATTAATAAAATGAAATGGATCATTAAAAAGCAAGCATCAAGAGTAGTTAATNGAGCTTTAGCAGTAGCATATACAATGAAGATCCTAAAATGTTGGTAGAAATTAACAGAGGTACAGTTGTGCTAACGGATAAAGTTCGGATGAATTTAAGGAATAAATACATTAATAAAATGAAATGGATCATTAAAAAGCAAGCATCAAGAGTAGTTAATAGCAATCCTTCAGCATTTATTTTGTGGAACCAAATAGAAGTCCTGACTAAGATCAAGGATTTTCTAAAATGGGGACCGAGCTTTGTCCCAGAAAATTCAAACTCTTGGGAAACTTCAACTTCAATCCAAGAAATAGAAAGGAGAATATCTGGGCTAGATTTTTAGAAAAAGAATACCTCCGATGGAAAACTGATGTATTTACCAGCATCACATCCTTTTTTCCAAGTCGTCTAGTCTTTTATGACAAACTTACTAAATGTTAGCTTAGAAAAAATGATTTGGTTACAACAAGAGCAGACAAAAGCAAAACTTTGGTAATCACGAAAAGGCAGACATATAATAACGCATTGGAGGATTATATTACAACAACCGAACGCGAGAGTGTTGAAGCAAAGATTATCGACAGCGTCGACAGAAGGGTTAAGAAGCTTGAAAAAGCTAAGCTCACTAATGCATTACCTTTCCTCAAAAATTGTAGGAATCCCAGGCCAAGTATGCCGAGATTGTTTGCTTTTGCCAAGATCCATAAAGAGGGTAAAGAAATGAGACCTATAGTGGAAAGGTGCAGAGGACCAACGTTTATTCTTGAAAAGAAATTATACAAGTTTCTCACTTTGCACCTCGAGAGTAATATACACTCACTGCCAAAAGTTAAGCACGGAGCAGAAAATGTTCAGGTCCGGAAAGCAATCTGCATTTGAGAGGCTGCAATTCACTGCAGAGGTAGGTGGAAGTATGAAAATATGTTACATTACTATCAATCATGGTTACGTGCCACGAAATATGCAAAACAGGCAGTTGTATAAGAAGCTAGCCTTCTGAAGTGTGAGAGGAGTTGCATTTAAGTGCCGAGAAAAAGTGTGGAGAACTGTCATATAATTAGTTTGCATGACTGATATGTTTCTATGACTTCCAGAAGACGAATGACAGACAGTGAGAGCTGACGGTGTGTGGGATGCCTTGAAGCAGGACAATCAATCACAGATGTTGCTCTTTTCTTCGGCGTTCATCATTCCGTCATTTCACAGTTATGGAAACAATTCCAAACAAGTCAAACAGTTGTCTGAAGACCTGTGGCCGGTTGCCCAAGAGTTACGACCCCTGCAGAAGATCGCTATATTGCTGTTGTAGCCAAGCGGAATCAAAGAGCAACCTCTACACGTGTGACATCGATGGTTGCAGCAGCGATTGGTAAAATGATATCTGCTATTACTCTGCGCCAAAGGCTACACATGAACAGACTGTACACCTGGGTACCACGAGTTTGAGTTCCACTATCTGTCCAATCCAGAGGCACATGATTAAAGTGGTGTCGGCAACATGTGAATGAGACTGTCTGATTGGGGCAACATTATGTTCACGGATGAGTCGCATGATGAGCCAGATGACAAATGTGTAAGAGTATGGAGTTGCAAACTGCTCTACAGGAGGAATGGCACTTATTTGACTCTGGAGTGGTTGATCACCTCATGGAAAGCATGGTTACATGCTGTAAACTTTGTGTAAGGATAAGGGGTGACCATTTACCCTAGTAATGTCAGGTTTGTTTGTTTGTTTTGGATTTAAACATCAATTTGTTAATGATTCCAATATGATTTCATCTTATACTTTATGAAAATTCAATATTGTTTTCATTTTTCTATGTAATTCTTTGTGTTGTTTCATGCATAAACATATTTGCTACTGTCCTGCTGCATTTCGTGTCAATCACAGCTGTACTTGTCGATTTTTTTGCAGTTTATCGCTCCGTGCTTAACTTTTGGCAGTGAGTGTACATGTGGCACAGGATCCAAGGGAGGTGGTTAATGAGATACAAGATCTAATTTTAATGGATGATGAAATTGGAACTGTGATGGACTATGAAAGTTTATACCAGTCTATAAAAGTTGAATCTTGCAGGCTAGCACTTTTAGATTTCATGCACAGCAAGAGCCCAGATTTGGCATGTTACAATAATAATTTGATAAAACTAGCTAACCTTATTTGTTATGAATCTTTTTTCATCTTTAACGGTCATCATACTGATAAAAAAGAGGAGTCCCTATGGGAAGTCCCATGTCAGGACTCTTGTATGAACTTGTATTGAGAAAATTGGAAAAAAGTGCTCTTTGTTTTCTTAAATGACATTGTGTATTTTAAAAGATACATTGACGATGTCTTTGTAGTTTGGAAGAATGACCAAAACATCGATGATTTTATTAACAAGATCAACAACAACGATGGCCTCATGCTGAAGATTGAACAGAAATGTGCCTCACGTAATAATCCGTCCAAAACAAGTGCGCATTTAGGTAGCTCCTAGTTTATGGCCACTTAAAGTAATTTTTAGGCATAATTATTGGAAAATTTAGCTTTATTCGTTCTTGTAAAGTGCTAATCTCTGCATTTTGTTGGTTTTTCAGCTCGACTTCGGAAGATTTGCCAAGAAATTGACAAGAGACAAACTGGCGCCTTCCCTACATAGCGCATGCGGGGAGATCGCTGCTGAAACATCGTCTGGCCAACTCCGGCAATCGGTGAGTTATGTTGTTTCTATATGCGCATATTTCTTTAGATCGCAATTTGATTTTCTGTTTTTTTTTTTTTTCAACAGTGTCCGTCCGTCCGCTCCTAATTTATAATTGATTAGATGCAATAAATAATATTTTTCTTCTAATGTGTCTAATTCATTCCTAGTGTGTATTTTTAACATTTAACATGAATATTTACAATATTTAGTGTATCTTTAAGATTTTTTAATACGTCCATCTGTCAATTTCTTTTAATATATAATGCGAATTACNTGATTAGATGCAATAAATAATATTTTTCTTCTAATGTGTCTAATTCATTCCTAGTGTGTATTTTTAACATTTAACATGAATATTTACAATATTTAGTGTATCTTTAAGATTTTTTAATACGTCCATCTGTCAATTTCTTTTAATATATAATGCGAATTACATAGGGATCGAATACAGAATGAGGTCCCTCCAACTCGCATACTGCGCAAAGAATTTCTATTTATTCTAAGATTGCTTTGGGGGCGAGTGACAACACGCAGGTGCTAAAGTCCCTGGAGAATCGGCTAGTTTTTTCTGTAGTAATTCTTTTTCGTTTTCCATGCCCTTGTCCAAAGGGCCTTTATCGCAGTAGTGTGGTGGATAGGCAAAAAGAGATTAATAGAATATTACATATTGCCAGATCTCTATGGTACAGAGCAGATATGATAACAACTAGGGTTTCTCATTTCCCAGTCTTTTGCTTATCCCGGGATAAAAGTGAACTGTTTCCCGGGATCCCGGGATAGAATTAATTATTTCTAAGGTATACAAAATATCTTGAAATCAAATGATATAATTATTTTCCATTTTTTAAAGTAATTTTAAAGTTCTGTAACCTCCAAAATCATATTAATAATGNGAATCCCAGGCCAAGTATGCCGAGATTGTTTGCTTTTGCCAAGATCCATAAAGAGGGTAAAGAAATGAGACCTATAGTGGAAAGGTGCAGAGGACCAACATTTATTCTTGAAAAGAAATTACACAAGTTTCTCACCTTGCACCTTGAGAGTAATATACATGTGACACAGGATCCAAGGGAGGTGGTTAATGAGATACAAGATCTAATTTTAATGGATGATGAAATTGGAACTGCGATGGACTATGAAAGTTTATACCCGTCTGTAAAAGTTGAGTCATGCAGGTTAGCACTTTTAGATTTCATGCACAGCAAGAGCCCAGATTTGGCATGTTACAATAATAATTTGATAGAACTAGCTAACCTTATTTGTTATGAATCTTTTTTCATCTTTAATGGCCATCATACTGATAAAAAAGAGGAGTCCCTATGGGAAGTCCCATGTCAGGACTCTTGTATGAACTTGTATTGAGAAAATTGGAAAAAAGTGCTCTCTTTTCTTAAATGACATTGTGTATTTTAAAAGATACGTTGACGATGTCTTTGTAGTTTGGAAGAATGACCAAAACATTGATGCTTTTATTAACAAGATCAACAACAACAATGGCCTCATGCTGAAGATTGAACAGAAATGTGCCTCACGTAATAATCCATCCAAAACAAGTGCGCATTTAGATAGCTCCTAGTTTATGGCCACTTAAAGTAGTTTTTAGGCATAATTATTGGAAAATTTAGCTTTATTCGTTCTTATAAAGTGCTAACCTCTGCATTTTGTTGGTTTTTCAGCTTGACTTCGGAAGATTTGCCAAGAAATTGACAACAGACAGACCGGCGCCTTCCCCACATAGCGCGTGCGGGGAGATCACTGCTGAAACGTCATCTGGCCAACTACAGCAATTGGTGAGTTATGTTGTTTCTATATGCACGTATTTCTTTAGATCGCAATTTGATTTTCCATTTTTTTTCAACAGCGTCCGTCCATCTGCTCCTAATTTATAATTGATTAGATGCAATATATAATATTTTTCTTCTAATGCGTCTAATTCATTCCTAGTGTGTATTTTTAACATTTAACATGAATATTTACAATATTTATTGTATCTTTAAGATTTTTTAATACATCCATCTGTCAATTTCTTTTAATATTTAATGCGAATTACATAGGGATCGAATACAGAATGAGGTCCCTCCGACTCGCATACTGTGCAAAGAATTTCTATTTATTCTAAGATTGCTTTGGGGCGAGTGACGACACGCGGGTGCTAAAGTCCCTGGAGAATCGGCTAGTTTTATCTGTAGTAATTCTTTTTCGTCTTCCATGCCCTTGTCCAAAGGGCTTTTATCGTCGCAGTAGTGTGGTGGATAGGCAAAAAGAGATTAATAGAATATTACATATTGCCAGATCTCTATGGTACAGAGCAGATATGATAACAACATTGATCAGAAATTACGAAATAAACAAAACTAAGGCTCAAAGCAGAGATTGACAAAATCACAAAGTTCACTTATGATAGAAAGAAAAAACCCATCATGAAGGAAATCTCATCCCGCAAAAAGTCCAAGTTAATTTTCAAGAGAGCTCCTAACCTGTACAAATTATTAAGGAACGACAAAGACAGCATGGATAAAGAAAACAGAGCAGGAGTGTACAAGATTCCGTATGAAAATTGTGAACTAGACATTGGTGTCACTAATAGAAACTTAAGAGTCAGATTAAAAGAACACAATATCAGCAAGGGATCTAACACCACAATACTATTGCAATTGGCGCAAGTTGAGGGCTCAGTCGTCATAATCTTAAAGGGCTCATAATCTTTATACAAGAAGGAAAGAATAAGAGAGAGCCTTCAAGCGAAGAAATATAAATTCAAAATAAGAAAATTTGAATCCGAAATAGCAGAAAGGATTAAGCAGATCCATAGAGTGGAGACTAAAGAAATATATAACGCTCTAATAAAAATCTTTAAAGACTACATAATTGACTTGAAGAATTATAATTTAAAATACTTAAATTGAAATTCAAACAGGAATGGTTTGATATGGAATGTTATAGAGTTAAGAGGAAAAAAGATTCTATATTAGTTTTATTCCATAAACATAGATCAAGAGAACATCTAATCAAATACATAAACTCAAGAAAAAGTTATAATAATCTTATAAAAGCTAAGAAAAAGAAACACTTTAATTCGGTAAATCAAAAACTACTTAATGATAAAAACAATAAGTTTTTCTGGTCGACGGTGAAGAAATACCATCTGAGGACGGTGGACGACAACCAAGATCTTATTGACTTTGATATATGGTATGCTTTTTTTTTTAAAAAAAAAGGCAACCAAGTACTATAAATAATACTCCAGAAACAGAATAAGAAACATCAAATAGAGATGAGACAGTTTTGAATTTTCCAATTCAGGCCCTAGAAATAGTAGATATCATTAAAAAGTTAAAAGAAACCACTGCTACTGATCCTGATTTAATTCCTACTAGTTTTTTGAAAAGACTACCACCTGAATTGACCGATATGCTGGCACTTAATTTTAATTATATGTACGAAAATAGTATATTTCCTGAAACGTGGAGCTCAACATATTTCTGTACGATATTCAAAAAAGGTAACAGATCAAATCCTAGTAACTATAGACCTATTACTATACTGCCATCATTAAGGAAGATTTTTACATCAATTCTTGTGAAAACATTCAACCAATGGATAGAAGCAAATTCTCTGAATTCTGACACCCAATTTGCATTTACTAAGAGTGGATCAGAATCAGCAATCTTCATATTAACATCAATTATCCAAATCCATCTATCCAGAAAAAGACAAAATATATGCAGCTTTTTTAGACTTAGAAAAAGCTTTTGATTCAGTTCCAATAGGAATATTGTGTGATAAACTGAAAAAAAAAAAAAAACAGTGTGGACTCATTGTTCATAAAAGCAATAAATTCACTATTTGGTCATTATAATGTTACTATTAAATGTGGTAAAATTGTTTATCCTTCTTTTGATATTTATGGCGGCCTTCTGCAAGGTGATCCACTCTCACCATACTTATTTAATTTTATAATACATGACATTAATAAACAATTCAATAAAGATGACGACGGAATATTGATAGAAAATCAGTTAATTCATTCAATACAATACGCTGATGGTATAGTACTAATCTCAAGCACCAAAATTGGATTTCAGACGAAAATAAATATAATGCAGAAGTACTTTTTACAACTCTGATTGAAAATTAATCCAAATAAAACATATATTCAGATATTTCGTACAGGAGGAAGACTGGCCAAACAGGACTATAATTTCTATCTTCTAAATGATAAATTAAACATAGTTGAGGAGATCTCGTATCTGGGAGTTCATTTAACTTCAACATTATCTTTTGAATCTCACGCCCAAGATGTGCAAAATACAGCTAACAAACTAATTAATAACTTTATTTACCTATTAGTTAAAATTAACTATCCAAAAAACAAATGCAGCTTTTCTCAGCAATAGTTATAAATTCAATATGTTACGCCTTTCCAATATGGGGACATCGACTGGACATCACGTCTTGAAAAAAATTCAAGTATTATATATAAGAAAAATATATGGTTTGGATACAGCTGTACCTGGATACACTATCTGGCATGATACAAACTGATTACTATTGGAGCCTTTTCTAATATTAAGAATTTTAAAATTTTATAAAAGATTGATTAATAGCCAAAATACTTTGGTAAACACCATTTTAAAAAAACTTAAAAAGGTTATCCGAGAAAAATAACTTAAATAATTGGTACAATAAATTTATCAAAATGCTGGCAAATATGGAATTTCACCTATATTTTTCAATAACTCTGAAGCGGATTGGAAATTTGGACATTCTATTCTAGTAGAAAACATGTTCATCAAGAAATGGTAAAATTGCAGAGCTCTAAATTTCATCCGTGGTACATTGATAATCTAAGTTTCCCTCTTTCGAATGAATATGTTTATTTTTATATTCCGTTTGCATTAAAAATATTTTATATTCAACTTCGCCCGAATAGTTATTATTTACTAGTCAAATCGAAATATTTAAATATTAGGGAAGATCTACGTAAATTATGTCAAGAGCAGAATTCTATCTACCATATAACTTGCTTATGTAAGGGGTGTTTAGACATCAGAGATCAATCTGTATTGATTCTCTCTCTTGTCAGAGAGTAAATCAATCAAGGAATTCTATAATAAGTAGAGCCGAAAGTTTTCGCCAGATTTTGGGCCTAAAATCGTGGCAAAAATCGCTAATTTTTTGCCTTAAATTCGCCCAAAAAAATCGCCAGTTATTTTCAAAAACGAGTTAAAACGAATCACACTTAGATATTTCAAATGATCCTCGCTTAAACTATGACGTCGATCACTCAATATCGGTGAATACAATGAGAACGAACGTTCGACGTCCACTGCAACTAAAGGAGCGTNCGGAATATCTGCACTGGTGAATGCTTCAACCATTTCTTTATCAAAATCGCTTCCATTTTCAAACAACAATGTTTGTGACTGTAGCGTGTTATGTTTCTTGTGTTTTGCACTGTTGAGATGTTCCGAAAGTCGTTTCTTAATTGTATCACGTTCGTAGTTGACGTATGTAGAGCACTTAACAGAGAATTATTTTTTTGGTACAGCAAAATATATTGCCACCTAATTCCTTAATCACGGTATCAATTTTAAACTCGACTGTTTTCTAGATATTTTTGCACGAAGCACATGGGAAACAATTGCTACAGAAACTAACAATTTCGCCACCTATCGCCAAATTTGCCAGTTTGGGTGAAAATTGCCGATTTTCGCCAAAAAAACTTAGTGATATTGAGACCAGATTTTTAAATTAGTACTAATTGAAAGATGCTCATTCCAGGTGAATATAGCTGAGAAATTCGCCAAAAGCGAAAATTTTCGGCTCTAATAATAAGTTATTTCAGTTAAGCCCAACCATGATTATAACTTTTTTAACAGATATATTAAAAAGTCTAGTTATGTCTGAGAAAGATAACAACTTAGAACAATACAATGATAGGTTGATTATAACATTAAATTGCATGCAGATAAAATACGTAAAGTGAAAAAAATAAGAAAATGAGATATAGATTTTTCTTTCTAACTATTTCCCCCCCTTGTAATGGGATAAACCCAAAATATGTTAATAAAGAGTAATTGAATCAAATTTTACGGGGAGAGATTAAATGCTCTCTCTCTTTATATCGAATGCGAATTACCTGACTGTAAGACTGTCAGGGGAGGTGAAATGCTTCCATCCCAGAATGACACAAAAGAAGTGTTTCATGTATGTTTTTCTTCCTATATGCTATTTGTGTGTGGAAGCAGCATATCCAGCTTTTGGGAAAGCATTTCCTTTGGTCAAATATGCCTTCGTACACAGAATTCCCAGATTTGTATCAACTGACCCTTTCAAAAGTAATCATTTTCTTGGTGACAAAATGTATTCAGATGAGAGACGTTCAACTTTGAATGCATTAATAAAATCTGTATAATGGCTAGTGTGGATAAAAATATAAAGGATCTATCAAATAGTAAGGAACAAAAAACAAATTTGATTGGTAATACGTGTGGCGCACCCAACGAAGCGGTCGATTTTCGTTATATGAGTATTCATAATTTGTGTATTTGTCATTAGCCTTGCAGGCTATTAATTTGTTGTTTTAAACTGGAATTTTCATGTGTTATACAGAACAACCTGAATGTGGACTTTTCTGTTTGCAGGTGTCTGGGGTTGGATGTGTGCCGCAGGGCCGGGAGAGTTGGTCATGGTTGACGGGAACCTGAACGCCGTACAGTATGTGCAGATTTTGGAAGACGTGCTGGTGCCAACGGTAACGGCCGTGTACGGCGAAGACCCATTCTGATTCGTCCATGACCGCTCCCCGGTCCATACAGCCAAAATCACAACGGAGTGGATGGAAGCGCATCCTCAGGTGCAGGACATGCGGTGGCCTGGGAGAGGGGCTGATATGAACCCGATCGAGAACATTTGGAGCGAGATAGTTCGCGAACGTATTCAGGCGTCGACTCCCAGCGACCTTTGGCAAGTCGTCCACGGTCGTTGGGAGAACCTGAGATCAGGCACAGTTTGTCAAAGTGTTGTGGAAAGTATGCCTGATCGCCTGAATAAGGTCGTGAACTTAGCTGGCTATTGGTCGGGATACTGACCCTCTCCCACAGTACGGATACTGACCGTCTCGTCAGCTGAGCATCTTCTTCTGCAGTCGTCGTACTCCTGGGTGGACCCGGCGACTTCTTTGGAGACAAGGAATTAGTCTCCCGATGCAGTTTAATTACGCAAGAGACAATTCTCAGTGATATTTGTAGAACATTGCTAATTTCGTTGACAGTTCTGTTTTGATCCTGGTGTGTTTGTAAATAGACTTGTAAATACACTTGTAAATAAAAGCAATTATTCATATGTAATCTGTGTGGTTTTCAAACAACTCGTGAGAACTTAGCATAATTAAATGTTATAACAGTTATTAAAACGCTTATTTTAGATTTAGCTGCATTGCTGGTGGATTGGTCGCTAAAGTAGTTTTGTTATCTCTGATTCGCAATTGTGACATAGTTCGGAAAGGATTCATGCCCAATACGCGTTATGTAGGGTGTAACCTACAAGAATGTCCAATGAAGTAGAATGCACTGTGGATTTTAACAAATCACATTCAAGGAAATTTCCAATGTTTTATTGGACGATAACAAACCAATATACTTCTTGTCTTGTCTCTGAACTTGCAGGACTTAATCAGTAAATAAGAAAGGCACGAAAATGGGAGGGGAAATCAAATTCAGAAGGAAAAATAGATGATGAGACAAACTTAGGTGTGGAAACAGGTGATGAATATCACCTTTGCAGTTGAACTCGTTTAGTTAGGTAAAAAAAGTGGAATCGTTACGTGGTTTGACACTCGTGACGATTGAAAATCGTGTGTTCCTCGAGTCTACTCATAAAAGTAGTTGATGGCGAGAATGCACTGTATCGTTTTTAATTATGCCGTTTAAAATAATTATTTTCATTCTAGAGAAAAAATCATCCGATTGTTTCCAATAGTTTAATCCCTTCATTACAAGGCTTCCTTCACGCTCAGAAACATGTATAGTTTTTGGGGTTGTTTAAAAAGAAGTATTCCTTCGCAGTTTAAAAAAACTGTGTATATGTTCTTTGTATGTAATGTGTCGAAAATNATTGTTTCCAATAGTTTAATCCCTTCATTACAAGGCTTCCTTCACGCTCAGAAACATGTATAGTTTTTGGGGTTGTTTAAAAAGAAGTATTCCTTCGCAGTTTAAAAAAACTGTGTATATGTTCTTTGTATGTAATGTGTCGAAAATGGTTCCTGAATGGCATGTTTCCCACCGGCAACCTGACGTCTGCAATGATGGCTTTCTCGTAGAAATTCTATGTGAAGGCCGGGAAGCAGCCATTCGTAGATTCGGTCACATTACAGCAATCATAATTAAACGCCTTAAACGTGACAAAACAGAAACGGCAAATAAATTTAAGGATATAAAAGTAATTTTTACATAATTACAGGTAGTATAGAATTAAACAAATGAAATATAATGTGATCCGTGAATATTAACAAGTTATAAACTGGTCAATTCGAATATAATATAAAGACCAAAAAAAAAACGTCGAATACAATAAGATCTGTTTATAAGACGGCAATATGTTTTAGTAATATATATATATAATAAAGATATAGAGATATGAAAACATGTTTGATTGTCATAGCCATTTTAATTCATAAAACTTTGTATAATTTAAAACAAATCGATTTGAAACGTTATAACAGCAATTTGATAACCGAAGTGGAAATAATTTATAACACAGGAATTAAAAGGAAACAGTTCTGACAAAACTGATTGTTAAATATCTAGGACAACATTCTGCTCAATGCAATTGAACAGTGACCTTGACATCTGACCCACTTCTGACAGGGAGTTATTGTTTACAGAGTAATATGACACTACGCGCGTTGGTGTCGTTAACAGCGGGGAGTGGCTGGCGGCTCAAATGACACCCTGTTGCGAAAGTAATAAAGTTTAACCGACCTTGACAGACGATCTTACCCTTCTCTAGTTACTAAGAATAAGAAGTGGGGAGCAGTTGTTTAAAGGGTAATAAAGCACTTCGCGGTTCATTAAGTGACTCTCCCCGCTCTACTCACATTACCGCAAGAGCAATAAACAATTAACAATGGACTTTGAAACAGGGTCAATTCCTATCCGATTACAAAGGAGCCGACGACAATGGGGGAAAGTAGAGATAATCTACTGGCAAGTGAGACCTGATCTGTTTATTTTAAAGCTGTATCGTCTTTAATTACAGAGAAATAAACGTAAATAAAACGAAATAAAGAAAGAAAAGTGTCCCGATAACAGATTCAATCGTAATTCCTGCATTTGCAAGCACATTTACGACTTTAAAATAAAAACACTGATGCTAAGCATTAGAAAAGCGATGAGCAATTAGTATTATCGTCATACGATGCTATAACGCGTCATTCCGATCAATTTCCGCACCCCTATGGTGCGAAATCGGCACAGTCCACCTGGAACGTCATTGCTGACAGGTAGCATACTCTGACGTCAAAGATGAGCATCTTCCTGAGTTGCGCAGTCGTCTCGAGCATAGTCAATCATTTTGCACTGTACTTCTGTTCCTACGAAAACCACTCTGATGTGGTGAAAAGTATTCCTTTTTCTCTAAGAGATACATTAGACGTCTGTTTACCATTCTCTCAAAAAGTTTACACAAACAACTTGTCAGAGAGATTGGTCTGTAATTAGAGGGATTCTTGTGATTTTTACCTGGTTTGGGAATGGGAATAATGATAGATAGCCTCCAAGAGTCAGGAAAAGTATGTTCTGTCCATATTCTGTTAAACAGATTCAAAAGCTTACTAAGGGAATTGCCAGACAGATTTTTAATCATGCTGTAGTGGATTTTATCTGGGCCTACAGCAGTATTCCCCGAGCGAGAGATTGCTGTATGTAGTTCTATGCTGGTGAATGGCACATTATATTCCTCATTAGATGAAGAATGGAAATTTAAATATTGTTTTTCACTTTGGGCTTTATAAACCTGAAAATTCGTTGAATACATAATATTGCTGGATGAAGCAGAAAATGTTTCACCCAACGTATCAGCAATACCCTGTATATCGCTGATTATTGTGCCATTCTTTTCCAGCATGGACAGAGAGTGAGAAGCATATTTCCCATTGATTTTATGAATTTTATCCCAGACTGCTTTTAAGCCAATGGAAGATGTTATGCTAGAAACATACTTCCTCCAAGAATCCCTTTGGCTTTGCCTTCTTATTCTTCTGGCATTTGCCTTTTGAAAAGCAACTAAATTTCTAGCAGTGGGGTATCTTCTAAAAATCCCCCATGCTTTCTTTTCTGCTTTAAATGCTGCCTCACAGTTCTGGTTCCACCATGGTTTCGGATGCTTTGGGTATCTTATTGATGTCTTTCCCATTGTTTTCTCAGCTGCCTGAATAATACTGGAAGTGACAACTCCAACTGCATCATTGATATCAGCGGTATTGACCATTTCGCCAGTGATGTTAGCCAAAGAGGAGAACGCAGGCCAATCTGCCGTTTCCAGTTTCCAGAGTGGTGGACAGGCTGTTTCACAGCTTTCTCTGCCTTGATATTTTAGAAATATTAGAAAGTGGTCACTAGAGAGTGGATTAGATCCAACCTCCCATGAAAATGCTGAAAACAGATTCGGAGTGGCTAATGAGAGATCAATGGCAGTGAAAGTTCTTGTTGGGGCATGGAAGTATGTCACATCTCCAGTATTAAATAAATACGTTTGCTCATTGCCTATGAGTCGTTCAATGGTTCTGCCTCGACGATTAATGTCGGGACTGCCCCACATGGGATTGTGGCCATTGAAATCACCCAGTAAAAGAAATGGTGTTGGCAGCTGTTCAACCAAGGCATCCAATTCATCCTCCTTGACTCTGACATCTGGTGGCAAGTATATAGAGCAAACTGTGACAGTTACTCCAATAGAAATTCTGACTGCCACAGCTTGTAAATCAGTGGTTATTTGTACCAGCAAAGATGGGATTCGATTGGAAACCAGAATAGCCACACCGCCACTGGCTCGGTTGTGGCTATCATCATCCTTGCGGTAGAGATTGAATTCTTTGAGAGAAATATTTTCTCCAGGTTTTAGATGGGTTTCCTGGAGTGCCATGCAGAGAGATGAGATAGATGATGTCAAGTGTTTAATGTCAGAGAAGTTGTTGCGGAAACCACGACAGTTCCATTGGATTATTTTATAATCCATTATGTGTTTGAGGCAGCATTCTTTGCGAGGGTATCCCTCTTTAATTTAACAGGCGGTTTCTCTTTTGAAGGTGAATTTGGTTTTAAAACCTCCATATAAGGCTCTTCATCAGATATATCAGAAAACTCACTCATAGATTGAGCTTCTGATTTTTTTGAGACTTTAGAGAGGGCTGCTTTCACTCTTTGTTAAGTGGGTTCTTACTGGCTTTTTTAGAACCCACATTTCTGGTTGTTACTCCCATTTTAGTTACAGAAGTTTTGGTCTTTGTGTTCTGCTTTTCTTCTGATTGTGCAGATGGGATCAATAAGCATTTTGCATGGCAAGTAAGAGATTCACTTGGAAATACAGAAATATCTGTTTGAACCTCACATGTCTTAGTGGATTTCAACACACTAGCAAATGTCTTTTGCTGCAATGGTGCACTTGGAATGACCATGCAATGGGCCTTTGGGTATGATACGTTTTTCACAGTTTTCACCCGGTGAATCTCCTTTTCTCTTTGCATTGCAGGGCATTTCCGGGAGTAGGCAGGATGGGCATCTTTGCAGTTCACACAGTGTGGATACTTTTACATTCAGTGCTGTCGTGACCTTCAGTTCCACACTGTGCACATAAGCTTTTGCCTCGGCAGGAAGTCTGGGAATGTCCAAATCGCTGGCATTTGAAGCAACATAGCGTATTTGGAATATATGGACAAACCAGGCAGCGCAGGTATCTCACCGTAATAAAGGATGGCAATGTCGGGTTGTCGAACGTGAGAATTAGATGTTTTGTGGGTATCAACTTGCCATCTCGAAGGATCGAAATGTGCCAGACAGAAGTGACACCTTGGTCCGACAGGCCGATCTGAATGTCTGATTCATCTTCAGACATCAAATCGAACTCAGATATCACAGCACGTGATGAGTTCAAACTTGTGTGTGGTGTAACTGATATTCCCATGTCTCCAAGAGTCTTTATTGTCGAAAGCTTTGTTGCTTGTTGAGGAGAGGCTGTTTCCACTAGTAGGTCCCCTGACCTCAATTTTTGTATGTTTTTTAGGAGCCCAATGGTTGATTCAAATAGCTTTTGAATCAAAAAAGGAGAAGACTTAGACAGGGGTTTTTCTCCAGTTGCGTGCATTATTAAGTAAACAGGTTGGCTGGAGGTCTTTTCTTTTTGTCTTAGATATTATTGTTGTGTCAGGGTGTTTTGAATCTTTTGGATCCATGATTAAAGTTTAATTATTCGGCTCCCAGTGACCCCACCCACCATGGGGCCCAACGAGGGGATGCTGTCACATGGGAGACTCCCATAGACAGTCAAACCAGGGTTTCCCAGGAGCTATACCATCGCAACGCAGTCAAGAAGAGCACATCTTGTCTGACGTGTCCACCCGGTCTGCATCGATCAGTTGACTCCAGGCCGAGGTCAAGAATGACTCAATGACCAGCCGATTGACTCAAACGGAGCCTGATTTGAGCCTCCCGTTTATCCGAAGCAGGGGCCAAAGCAGTGTGTTGCGGACGTTATGTTGCCACTCAACTACCAGGATCCCCCTTTCCGGCATACAGGACACCACGCACGGCAAACACGTGGGTGGGCGTTCAGATCCCAGGGATGGTAAAGAAAACTTACTAAACCATCTCTGGGAGGTCCCCTCACCACGGACAGGAACTTAAATCAAGGGGCTTTATCATTTCTTAGAATCTTGTACAGATTCAAAGCTCGTTTTAAGATCAACGTTGATCCTTTACTGTCCGCAATCTCCTTCATGACGGTTCTTACATTTTTGTTGAATGTACATTTTGTGTATTTACTAGGCCCTTGTTTAGAGACCCTTGTATCGCCTTTTTCAAATTTTCTAATAATGCCAGTGATTATGTTTCTCCTGTTACCCAAGGTTTCTGCTATCTGCGTAATCCTTTTCATTTCTTTATTTCTGTCCATAATGTTATCACAATATAAGAAAGCCCTTCTGACTAAGGCACGAAAAGCTGCTAATTTATAACGAAGTGGATCATTGGACTGTGCAGGAATGTAAAGTGGGCTAAATGCCCTTTCTTAAAGATGATATTGATACCCAAGAAATATATCACTACAGAACTTTTCTGCTCTAGCTTCAGGTTTAGGCCGTCTTTGTTATCGTTGGTTCTTTCTATAAAATTACTGATTCCTTGATTATTTTTCCATAGTATGAAGATTTCGTCCACATATCTCTTGAATTAAACAATATCATTTCTGAAGCTATGCACAACCTTTTCCTCTATTTTTCTGACCACTAATTCGCATAGAAGCCCCGATATTGGACATCCCATAGGAACTCCCCTGTTTTGTTTGTACGTTTGGCCTTCAAAGGCCAAACGTACAAACAAAACAGGGGAGTTCCTATGGGAAGGATTCACCGCATACAAGGATAAGAAGGATTCACAGCATACAAGGATAAGAAGGATTCACAGCATACAAGGTTAGCCATCTCTAAAACTTTCAGATATTAAGAAGGAAGATAAAGCAGAAGTTTATAGGATCCCGTACAAGAACCAGTAGTTAGGAATAGAAAAGGAGTACATAGGGGTTACAATGAGATACCTAGGAATAAGGGTCAGAAAGCATAAATATGATATTAGAAAAAGATCTAATGCAACGGTTCTGCCCCAGATGGCTCAGGCCCAAGGATCCGTAGTTAGATGGGAGGATGCAGAAATCATCAGACAAGTGCAATCCCCAACTTTAGTGTAAACTGCCAAAAAAATGGAAATATATAGGGGCAAACTAGATGAAAAATGCATAAACACCAGAGATGCAGAGAGCCTACCCTCAGCATGGAAGTACACCGTCAAAAAACTTACAAGTTGCTCTTGAATTGCACCATATCCGCAATTGTGTTATGGGAACCTTAATGATTTTTATTGGTTAACAGATAGTGGCTTATAATAATATTTAATAGTTGTATGTTATTTATTTTTACATTTATGTACTTTTACGCTTTAATTTTTATTTTAATTAGTTGCTATGTTGTCGGTATTTATCTCTTTGAATTTGGTGTTCTATTCTTTGTTATTCCAAATTCGAATGTTTCAACCTGAGGATGATCTATGGAGTAGATTGAAAACGTTAGTTTTTAATAAACTCCCTTGGCAATGAATAAGGTGTTTGTTACTTGATTATTTATTTTGCCGAGTGCGTTTCTGTTCAATATTACATTACATATTAAGCATATAGTTTTACAGTGCAATGCAAAATATATTACATATACTGTATATCGTATTTAAAAAATAATGCCGTGTATCACTGTCCTTTAAATGTAAACATTTTTGTAAACAGTTGTCTTAATTGTACACCTCTAATCTTAATACTTTCCATTTGACACATACAGTTAATATGAATTATAAAAAATTCACTCCAAACATGTTGATTTGCTATTTGTTCTATATTTTTTAAATCAATTATTTGAATCTTCTTTCTTCTTTTAAGAAGTGGACAATTTTTACAATCATTCAGTTTACTGAAATAATCAATTCCTTTATTGATAATTTTTAAACATTGGTTTTTGTTTCTATTTATGACTGGACTCTTTGTCCATCTCCCCATTGGATGACAAGAATTAAGCAGGTCAAATATATTATTTATTTTCAATGTGAATTCAGCAGTTGCATGAACATTGTTAAAGCTTTCTATGCAATTTTCTTTACAAAATATAAAAGCAATAGTTACAGATATAACGTCTGTGCTGCTATATTTACCTTCGTTTTTTGTCTCCACCATTCAATATGATATGATTTTAGTTAAATTGAGACACGAAGACCTTCTTTATTCTGTAAGTTATACAACAGTCTGAGTTGGGACACCAGTAAGGTAAGTTGTGTTTTACTGTGCTCCTATCAGGGTATTTTTGTACGTTTTAAGGCGTTAAGCCTAAATTTAGGCCTAGCTAGCTAACTCCTATGTTAAAAGATAGGGAAGTAGGGTTAGTTTAGGTTTAGTGGTAGCATTAGGCTTAACATAGCTAAGCCTATCTTTTTTGACAATTTTAATTGTCAAAGTTTTGGGTTTTGGTGCCAGCCATCTTGGCTTCCCCAACATCACAGAAGGAAGAAGACAGGGTTAATCTTTTTGTCTGCTTTTTGTTTGGAGGGGACCTGCTGATACAGCAAACCAGTCCCCAGCTAAGCCAGTGGATACACCGGCCAAACTAGTTTGGCCTCTGTGGATACTGCCTCCACCCTTATTGACTGAAGACATAGTGACTGTTGGTGTCATCGAACTTTTGACTGAACCCTGTGCGCCATACTGGATTAATATCAACGAGACTTCGCAGGAATATCAACAAGGATATTCTTCAACATCTTACAAGAAAAGATCCCTCTTGTAAGGTAATTACTCTTGAATTGTACCTTTCTGAGTGGAATCGGTCTCACCTTATGCGGTGGACTAACATAGAGCGTCACCAGGAGAACTCTGTGAGTGTGTCACTGAGACACACATAAAGCGCCAGTCAGGAAAACCTGCAACAGAGCGTTGGAAGGTTTTTGGACTTTGCCTATTATTTTATCTTACGGTCATGGATCTTACCGAATCCATTCAGGAGTCGGATCCTTCGGACAACTCAATAATGGCAGTCCACACATTAGAGGACAGCATCCTAAAGAAAGCTAATCGGCACCTCAAATGTCTGATGGACCTTTTACCAGCTAAACACAAACCCTCGCTAAACACGAAAGAACGCAAAGAAGTGAAGGACTTGGCATTGCAACTGCATTGTTGCGTAAGCCAGATGTATGGTGTATTACGCGAACAGAAAATTAGCCGAGCGACTCAACACCACTGTTAAAACTTATGCTCAGGCTGCCAGTGTAAACATAGACACTAGGCCAAGTCACGCCACGAAAACGATTAACGCTTCTCTTCGCACGAAAGTGCAATCCGAGGGGGCCGGAGGTACACATGCTGTTCTCCTGTACCCCAAAGTTACTAGCGAGGAAGAACAAACCAACATGGACGAAGTCACAACAAAGATCCTTGAGGAAGTACGTCCGGAACAATTGCAAATTAAAGTTAAGGCAATCCGTAAGGTTAAGGCAAATGGAGTGTGCGTCAGGGTTGGTAATGAACAAGACGGAAAGAAATTAAAAGAGGCCATAGATGCCATCCCGGAATTACAAAACACTGTAAGCTGCAAAATATCCGAGGGGAGAAGACCGCGAGTCATTCTCCTCAACGTACCAAACTACATCGAGGAAAGTGACATCATTAAAATAATGGCTGAACAGAATAAGATTTGGGGAAGTGTTGATCGGGAAGAAGTTATCACATCCTGTAGAATAAGTACAATACTTAGCCACGGAAGGATAAAGGAAAACTGTAGAAATGCAGTTCTCTCAGTTACTCCCCAAATAAGAAACACCCTGATACAACACCGACACATCTCTATGTCATGGTCTACGGTATATGTTGATGATTTCATACCTGTGGTCAGGTGCTACCAATGCTGCGGATTCGACCATTTCGCACGGGATTGCCCTGCGGACCGCAGATGCAGCCATTGCATCAAAAAACATCCATTTAAAGAATGTGACCGCTGCCATAAAACAGCCACTTGCATAAACTGCAAACAAGCTAACAATAGCCTCCCAGAAGGCAAGAAATACTCAGAACATCACAACGCCTTTAGCACAAATTGCCCGATCCTACAAAAAAGAAAACAACAGACAATAATTCGTACTAATTATGGCCTATAATCAACAGGAAAAATCGACTCAGGATACAAATACTAACAGCCAGCAGGCAGGTAACGAAGCCAGATGCAACCTCAACCAACTGTCCACCATAAAACTCCTCCAACTAAACGCCCAAAAAAGCAAGGCAGCCTGCTCACTCCTGATAAAGACTGCAAGTGATATTGAGAGCGATATTATTACTATTCAGGAACCGTATACTATAGACAACAAAATTGTTAGGTTTGGTAAGTGGCAGGTCCTTACGGGCCAAACTAAAAACAGACCGAAGTGTGGAATAATAGTCTGCAACCCAAACTTGGATATTGCTCTCATCCCACAACTCTGCACAGAAAGAATATGTGTTGCAATCATGCAACAATCTAGGCCCATCTACATAATAAGCGCCTACTTCTCTCCAGATGATAACGATGAGGGTTGTGTGAACGAACTGACAAAAGCCATCAAGAAAATAAATAGTAATCACATCATAATATCGGGTGACCTTAACGCCAAATCAGCGATATGGTATCATAAACATGAGGATAGAAGGGGAAGGCTGGTCGCAGACTTAATGGACGGCCATGACTTAGTATCAACGAACATGACAACACACCCGACATTCCATACACTGCACGCAGAAGGATGGACAGATGTTTGCATCGTATCCAACGACCTCAGTCAACGGATCACCAACTGCGAGACACTACTAATACCCTCGGCCAGCGATCATCGGTACATAGCCACACATATATCGGATATTGCCACCCCCCTCAATTCAAATAGCTACCTAGTCAAAAGGACAAACTGGGAACTGTTCCGGGAGCTCTTTGGGCAACAGTGGAGGAAATTCAACTTCATCCCGGTAAACACCCAGGAAGATCTGGACAACTACGTTAATAACATCACAAGCGCAATTCAATTCGCNGTCATGCGCATTCGTGCGCTGATGTTGATATTTATAGATCGTTGTTTATGAGGGCCTGCCACGCTATAGAAAGATTAATCTCATCCTTCCGATTTATACATGTGGTCAGGTGGTTAGTCTTGCAGATGGATATAGCTTCCCGCCATTTTAGATGTTTGAGGTGGGGCGTAGTGTCGATGATATCAGCTTTGTCGAACTCCGGTTCTATATCGGGATCGGATGCAAAGGTGGTTAGGGCTGTGGTGTACCGCCCATGCTGAAGGTCTGCTTGATGCTCTTGTATTCTGCTGTTTAAAGATCACTTGGTTGAGCTGATATAGACAAGGCTCTCATTACATCTGTTATCTTTCAGTGGGATAGAGTATACGCCAGGAAGCCTGCTACGAACTGGACTGCCTTCTCCATTTCTGAGGATGTCGTAGATTGTTGGGCATCTTCTATAGGCTATTTGTAATTGTTGTTTTCCTGCGATCTCAGCGTATATCGCTTTAACATATGGGTTAAAGGTGACTGGGAGACGTGTACGTTCATCGTGGTCAGTATTGGTCTTCGTACGTGTAGTGGGTGCATATTGTGAGCATTGATGTCACTCAATTAGACTGTGTGTTAGACCATGGTAACCATGCTTGGCTGCTATCCTCTTGATATAATATAATATAAGCGGGATAGAGTACACGCCAGGCTTCCTGGAGTGTACTCTATCCTGCTGAAAGATAACAGATGTAACGAGAGCCTTGTCCATATCAGCTCAACCAAGCGATCTTTAAACACCAGAATACAAGAGCATGAAGCAGACCTTTGGCATGGGTGGTACACCACAGCCCTAACCACCTTTGCATCTGATCCCGATATAGAACCGGAGTTCGACAAAGCTGATATCATCGACACTACGCCTCACCTCAAACATCTAAAATGGTGGGAAGCTATATCCATCTGCAAGGCTAACCACCTGACCACATGTATAAATCGGAAGGATGAGATTAATCTTTCTATAGCGTGGCAGGCCCTCATAAACAACAATCTATAAATATCAATATCAGCGCACGAATGCGCATGACCGTCCTAATGATCGTTCGTTATACGAGTTTCATATTTTTTGTTTAAACATCGCATTCTATTTTTAGATTCGTTTTTTATTTAAATATCTACGTTTCATTTTTCGAAGTGTTCCATCGGAATTTTTTCTATACCTGAGGAAGAGCTATCTGGGCAGCTCGAAAATGTTTGTGAAAGGAAGATTTTTTCACGCAAAATTACACCGGTAACAGGTTCCGTATTTAGTATTTTAATTTAGTTTCTACTATTCCAAGTCTAATACTTTTACTTTGAAAACAAACCTCTGTCAAGTTGAGAGGAAGCTATTTATGCCGGGTATGAACATGGGTCTATAGTCTTTATTACTCACTCTTTAACAGTTCATTTCTGAATTTCAACATGAATAGACGCATTTGTGCAGTGAAATTTATTTTGAAAAATTATTTTTTATAATTAAAAAAATGTCATCAAGAGAAGCAAGTTCTTCATGTTGTGACGAAAAAACTGTTGATGATAACTCTTTATTCAATGATGTATCGAAGCAGTGGCTAAAAGATAGAGTTGTGTATTATGAGAGTTTACTTTTCGAAAATAATTTAATTGCAACAACATCTTCTGATACACTATCTGAAGATGCTATGCTAATAGGCACAGAATTATACATTGGATGTGTTGAATGAAAAAACTTTACAATTGATGACAAATTTATTTATGCCCAAGAAGAGTGTACAGAAGGAAATTTCGAAGCAGTTAAAGATGACTCATCTGATGACTATGTATCTGATGAAAAAAATATAGGATGAAGGAATATATTTCACTGGAATATAAAATCAAAGTTTTAAAAGTAGCAAAAGCCCATCCTATGTGGAAACTATAAACATTACAAAAAAACGGATGTAATCATTTGAAAAGAATGGATCATTTAAAATTTTGCGAAAAAGATGTTGAACATGGTGGAACTATTTTTGATAAAATATCATTTGATTGATTCCTGGATGTATGACCGGTTTGTCGAAACTAGACAAAATTATGCAAAAAAAAAAAACAAAAAACAAAAAAAATCAATAAATAATAAGAAATAAATGAATGAGTAAATAAATAAATATATTATAAGTATTTATGAATAACAAAGAAGGAAAAAGTATACACAAGAGAATTGAACCCGAGCACGCAAGCGTACGAGTCAGGAGAGTTACCATTCATGCCACAGCATGCTCAAGCAGAAATATGCGTAACTTACGTATAAAGTGCTAAAGAAAACTAAGTTTGTTTTTCTCGATTATATTTGAGTGTTGCACTTTAGTATTTTACAGGTAGTACACTCCCATGGTGTACTACCTCTACACGAAAGATCATCAAAATCCATTTCCCCGAAGCCATAGAGTCTCCTTGTTAGAAGGGAATTTTTATTTTTTAAATAAAATATAATACAGAATATTGTAAATTTTTATAAGATTTTAAAAAGCAAACATGGTCAATACTTTGATCACTCAAACTAATTCTTATTTTAGTAATGAAAAGTCTTGCTACTGAGAATACCCTTTCTGATTCAATTCATGTGAGTGGAATCATGTTTAATCCCTTAACGCCCACCTGTCATTAATTATGATGTAATTAAGCATAAAAAATACATAAAAAATACTTAAAACTGAAAAAAAATGAAAGAAATGCGTTTATTTTGAAGAAACAGCTTCCAAGTTTAAGTTCCTTTGTCTCGCCTTTCTGCGAAATTTAACACCCATGAGTCATTGTTTACACAGCTGGATGACCTTGAGAACAGCTGGAGTCGGATTTCCCGGGGCATTCTCATAGACGTCTCGGGAGGACAAGGGTTTAAAGTAGGGTGAATATGAGCGACGCCTATATTTTAAAATATTTTTAAAAAATTAAGATTTTAATTGCGATTTCCGACCCCCCTAATTAATTAAGTATGGCAAGAGAATGTAC